CCCCAAAACCCCAAAACCCCAAAACCCCGGAGTATGAATTCACAACTGAGATATTATCAAATAATTATCTGGGATTATTTAGTTTCCTCCTCATTGGAGTTATTCTGGGATCAGATCTTTCATAAGGGCGTCTTTGAGTTGCTTGATGAGGTGCTATCTGAACATTGCTTCTGCTCATGCTTGAAGACGGGTTGATGATAGATGGTGAGGGATTCGGGTTGTGATCATTAAGGATCTGAGGTGCTCTATTACGAGAGGAGGGCTTTTTGGGAGCAACATTTTGTGGTTTATTCTTAGCTTTCCATTTTCGTATGCAAATTACTATTGACTTTAATAAGAACATTAGTCAGATTAAGCTTCCGATAGCTGGAGACACCATGAATACAGTTATATAAAATCTTTCATAGAACGGTTTCCAGGCTTCTTTTGTGTCCAGCCATGATAATGGAACTGCCAAGCTACAGAACAGCAATTGATTTATGATTTCAATAATACTGTCTTGAGGATTCTCTAATGGCCTGAAAATAACTAAATAAAGACAATAAGCAATGTTGAATAAGTAGAAGTAAGTGGCTCTGTTATTTTGACTAGCAGATTCCCCAAAAATGAGCAATGAAGTCAGCAATACTCGCATCAGCATAAACAAGCAAGAGTAGAGCTTAGAATATTTAGTTGGCTTGACTCCGTTGAAATATTCAGTTCATGCCCAATACTTTTTTTTATCCAACTGAGGAAATGACTTGCAATACATGATGAATGATAGAATAAACAACACGCTTGTGCACAATCAAAACAATACTCAAAGCCCAAATGATACTATTGTGACTGTCGTAGCAAGATTGAGATTGTACAGTTCTGCAAATATTGATAGAGTTGTAAATACTAATGCTTGCATGAATATCCTTATGTAAACATTGAATGTGAAGAACGTGAACAGCTTCTTGGTAAACTCCTTTCATTTTCTGTGCTTCGAGTTCTCTGTTCATCTGTATCATATCAATACACCAATGTGAATAATCCCTACCAGTATGATAATGACCATGAGGGACAAATAATTAACAACTGAGCTGCCAGACCTCATTCCAAGACTGTTTAAATACCCATCAGATTGGGGATATGACACCCAGTCAGTTAGTCTCTCGACAAGCGGAATATCATTGAGCTTGATGAAGTCAAATGAGAGCATTGTGAAACCCATCCCGCTCAGGAACTCTAATACTTTGGGGGAGAAGTAGTCAGGAATTAGAGGCAGTAATATTGCTAGTTGTAGGCTGTTCATAATGCTAAAGATAGAGTTGATAGATGATAATGAAAGTATAGATGAAGCACTAGCAAGTGTGACACCCAACGCCACCATAGCAGTCGCAGCTTTAGTTTCAGTAGCAGCTGTAGTTTCAGCTACTTTAGAGCAAGAGGTCTGGCCATCAGAGCTCTGATAGCCATCTGATCAAGCCTCTCAAGTGCTATGGTCTCCTAGTGTTCATCGATCGCAGTTTTGAATGGATCATTCTTCTACAGTGATCTCAAACTTCTTGTAGTGCACTTCACTGTTGAAGGAGATCTGCAGTGAGAAATAGAAAGTCTTCTTTTCGGGCAGTTTTGGAGTGGTGTTGAGGTGTAGCTCTTGGTTGACTGCATCCAATTGCACCCACCCAGGTATCGTATTTGAGCCAGTTTGGGCCAGACTAAAACTAATGGCAGTGTAATTAGCTGACTGAGCTCAGGCCGAAGTGAATTCCAATTTCACAGAAGCGTTGCTCTGGACAATCTTCAAGTAGGTTTGGTTCCACAAAGCCACGTATGTGGTGAACGAAGGATTTGTCGATGACGCGATGTCAATAGTAGTGATGGACGATGAAGTTGAGATAGTAAGTGTCTTCGTGCTTGTGGTGAGGCTTGGGTTTGATGTTGTTGACGACACCTGATAGGAAGTGGTAATTGGACTGAACAGAGGAGTGTCTTCTTCAAACTCAGCAAGTTGTCCAATGTTGTTTGTGGGCGATCTAGCTAAGAAGAATGTGTAATTGGTGTTTATTCTTCCAGAATGAAACATTAGCTCTTCCCCTTTATATAGCAACCTTCCAACTGCATAAGCACTCGAGCTCACTGACTTGTACTCCTTCACAACTTCTGCGGCCGAGGGGGAGACCAGAATCAACCTTTTAGCACTTGATAACGAGGTACTGAGAATCTGAATGGCAATGAAACCACTGAACTCTTTCATTCAGTAACTATGCCCATACCCACTGTCGTTCCAAATCAGCCCTGAGCTTTGGGGACTCCCGTCGGTGGTGGTGAGTTTTTGGAAAATAAAGTTGGCATTGTACAGCACCATTGTGTAGACCCACTCTTTATCTCTGCTCACCAGGGAGCTGCTGAATTTGTTCACTCAGCCCGAAGTGGGACAGGCAATGCTCTTCTTCCAGACCAGGCTGGAGGAGGACAAGTTGTAGTTCACCAGGTAGTATTGGTCGGCTGCTGTGTCAGTTGATCCAAAGAACAGCAGATCGGCATTGATTGGGGCCAAATTGGCCTGACTATTGACTCCGAAAGTGAATCAGTCTAGATTGGTATTTGCCATGCCCCATCTGCAAGTGTGTATGATTGAGCTGATGATGAGGCTGAAGAAGAAGCCTTCACTCACTTCCATGTTTGAATTCCCACCCACAGAGGCAGAGCTAACTGACAACTCCCTGGAGATGACCAGGTCTGAAGTCCTGACCTCGAATATCTTTTCCGTTGTATGGTCTTGGATATAGATGAACTCCCTGCTTGGAGACATGGCGTTGGAATAGTAGTAGCAGTAGATATCATAAGTCATCACTTGCACTTTGGCCAGGGCTGGGTCTGACTTGTAGATTATTGTGTCAACTGGAGCAGATGAACCAAAATGCCCAATAAAATAAAGTAATTCACTGTCTTGGTCTTCCAAAATATCCAAAAGAAAGACAGATGTAAGTCCGGCCATTCCGAAACTTCCAGAGAGAGGAGATCCTGCCGTCTGGGTATCGTTCTGGCACACATTGGCGGTTACAGCCGTGATACATAAGATTAAGATACGTAGATATCCCATTTTTAATATTATTAATAATATAATTCTCAACTATTTATTTGGCGTGGGGTTTTGGGGTTTTGGGGTTTTGGGGTTTTGGGG